AGCAGTCAAGTGTAATCTAGTCATCTTCATGAAAAGCAAATCCCGATCCTCTGCCAGTTATACCCACACCCCCACCTCTAACATAACCAAACACGTCACTGGTTCCTGCTGACCAAAATTATCAGGATTGTAGCTATGCATCATGAGTGTGACTAATCTTACTAAGATTCATCAGTTCTCTCACTGGACTCTAAGCTCTTTGAAGTTAGGCATCCCATTAGTTATTAAAGATTTTTTTTTTTTTAATGTGGGCCATTTTTAAAGTCTTTATTGAATTTCTTACAATATTACTTCTGTTTTATGCTTTGGCTTTTTGGCCATAATGCATGTGGGAGCTTAGCTCCCTGACCAGGGACTGAACCTGCTCCCCCTGCATTGGAAGGTGAAGTCTTAACCGCTGGACCACCAGGGAACTCCTGCCCATTAGTTTTTATGGACCATTGGATTTCCAGCCCTAACATACGCTGGAGATTCAAGTGCTAGGCCTGCAGTTCCCACTGCTTTGAATGATTTTTTCCCAGATAGTTTTCACTGTCTTGAGGACTATGCCTACTTCTCATCATCTCAACCCTTGACCACTTGTCCTGTTTAACACACGACCTCCCCTCCTTATCCCCTCAGCCTGCTATCTTTCACTTCGTGTACTTACCTCCATCTGAAATTGCCTCCGAGGTTTATTTGTTCCTTTATTTTTTGTTCACTGCCTGTCTCCTTCTAACAGACTGTAAACTCCTTGAAGGAAGTGATTGGGCTGTGTTCATTTCTGTAACCACACTACCTAGAACAGGACTTAGCACAGTGGATGCTCCATGAACATTTGAACAGGGGCATTGTGTGAAAATGCTTTCTGTTATGGAAAGAAGGGAGGAAGAATGGAAAAATGGAAAGGGATAAAAGAAAAGAGAAAGAAGGAAGAAAGAGAGGAGGAAAGAAGTATACTCCTCAAAATCTAATGTGGCCCCTCTTCACATTAAACTTCGGGAGCAGTTTTGCCTATATGAGAGCTCAGTTGAGCTCAGAGCCTCATGTATGAGGCAACTATGTATTACCTCAGTGTCTTTAAGAAGAAATGATGAAAATAAATGGCCTGAGTCAGGAGACACGGATGCTAGTTCTTCTCTGACATTGTTCCAACTTACTTATACAAGGCTCTCTGGTCTAATAAGGGAGAAGGACTAGATAAGTCTCCAATGTTCTATTCTCTACTATAATTCTGTGGTTCTAAACCTTTAATTCTGAAATGAATTTGCTTTCTAATTCTTTTTTTCCGTATGCCAAAATAATTATAATGAAGATTTAGATTCAAGTTTTAGGTAAAATAGTCTAATTGAAAAATGCACAATTGGTTCATGCCTACCCAGGGATGCCAAAAAATGCACAATAAAATTAATATTTTAACTCAGTTTTAATATTTATATACTTGTAAGACAAGTACATTGAATTTATATAGTGTTTTCACATTTATGTGATTTGTATATTAAGTGGTATATATGTAATATATATAATATGTCCTATTACATAACATACTATATATACACACAATATATAATAGAATATATATATAGTATTAATATTTAAATACTAGGTATGATTTTAAAAACTTATATGTGAAATATATAAAAGTTCTAAACTAAATTTAGGTAAACTAAATTCATATACTTCTATCAAATATTAATATATTTATTCAGATACCTAAACAGGTTAGAATCCAGGCTACAGAAAAATGCTTCAACCCTCTTCCCTGCTGTAAAACTGAATGGGGATACGTTTAGTGCACATACTTAAAATGGACTCACCATATGGGAGGGTTTCCAGTTCTTCATTGTCTTCCAGCAGCTTCTCTTAACCATCTGTATTTAAACATGGGTTAAAAATCACGGCGCCCGAATTTGAGTCTTAGTTTTCACACTATCTTCCAATGGATTATTTTTACTTCAGAATAGTACAAACAGCATTCCTAGATCTGTAATTCAAGGCCTTTTCATATTTCAAGTTTAAAGAGCTTACCTTCTAAGGGTATTTTTATTTAGATATGAGTTGAGGGGGGTGATGCAGAAAAAGCAAATAATATTTAGATGGTTGTGAGAGCTTACTGAGCTATATAAATGTAGTGTGCATGACAAGAAACATACAATTTGTACACACACATTTACACAACGCTGTAGAGACTCCCACTTGAATGAAAAAGATAAATGCTTCCGTTTCCTCTATCTATTTTATTGGTAAACCAGGTAGTTGATGTTATCTCTAAAAACCATATTCCTTAACTATATTTCTACTGGGATTCATTGGTATAATTAAAACTTGAATGGTCTGAAATATTTCAGAAAACTGCAGTGAATATTCTTTCCTTTATCTTAACATGTAGTTTTATTTCATATAAAATTGTTCTCTGTAATTTCCCTCTCCACCCACAAATGACATTCTTTTTATACTTATAGATGCACTCACTCATGAGCCTATGGACTATAACTACACTTCACAGAGGTAAGAGAAACCATAATGCTATGCTAGCACTGAGGGAATAAGATTGGTATTCTAAACGGGGAACTATTTACTTTTTATTACTATAATGATTTTTTAATAATTTTCTCAATTTGAAATGTGGTTAGCATGCCACTGGTAGTGAAAGCTGGTAATGTGATTTAATATTTTTAACATATGATCTGGTGTTTGCTATAGTGCTTCGAAATGTTAAATGTCATTATTCATGTTATGGTATTATCAACGACAATAAATTAAGCTAAACCAGTGGTAATGAAGTTTTATATCACAATTTATTTGGACTCACTTTGGAGTCCTAGGTTGACCACTGCTTTGTATGAGTTTTCTCAGCCACCCTTTTCCTTTACTAGTGTGAATAACATTTTCTTCCTCTTCTTTGTCATTTACTAGGATGTTTATTCTACTGTTCCTAACATTCAAGGGTCTTTCTTGTATTTCTTTGTATTCTGTGCAGTGGAGCAGAAAATTTGTCTCAGTTTCAATTTCTCTTTTGTTCCCAGAACTTCCCCCTCCTCCAGTGTTGAAGTGGAAAAACAGTTTCCCCTCTTGCACCATACACAGGTTCAAAGTCTTGTTTTTCATCATGTTGCTCCAAACAGCAAATTTTCTAACCCACATGAAAAAAGAACACCAAAGCTCTGACTTGGAAGTCTGCAAGGGTCTGAAAACAATTGAAAAGAAGTTCCTACAACTGGGATTAGCCCTTAGCGGTTCACTGGTCATTCTGAGGAGAGGCGTGTGGAAGCCGACAGGGCCTCCAACCTGCTAGCACATGCATAGGTGGCCCAGCTCTGAAGTCAGTCTCTGTTGTCATGGAGAATGGAGGCAAAATTAAAAAGCAAGTAGCAAACAATCCAGTAGGTTAAGCCAGGGACTTGGGAGTCTCCCAAGGCTCCTCCCTTCCTCATTCCCTGCATGAGTCATTTTTCCAGTCTGTCCACACCCATTCACCCTTCTTCCATCAGCCTCCACCCCACACTCCCATTCACTCTCCAAGCTGCTGCCACAGGATCCTTCTGAAATACAAGTCCAAATTCTACCTGTCTCTTTGCTGATTCAACTCATCTGGATTATCACAGCTTTCGGAGTAAAGCTGAGACTCCTTGGGTGAACACAGCCTACTTTTAACTCACTTGCTGCCACTCTCCTACAAGTATCCACCTCACTGCTAACCCCAAGACTAGCAGTTCCATTGTATTTGCCAGGCTCTTTTCCCACAGAACCCGGATTCACCTCTCTATCCATCTTGATAATTTCTATACCCCTTTTAAGGCGCCTGTTAAAACAACCCTTCCAGGAAGCCTTCTTGACTCTCCTCGAAAGCACCTTGGTCTTGCCTCCCATCATTTTAGCATTTATCCTTCAGCCAGAATTAGTTTGTCTTTTCCCCAGTCTCTTCCCTAGTAGAGGTATTATTCTTGAGGGGAGGGACTCTATGTTATTATCCGTTCTCGAATCTCTGGCATAGCAGGCTATTGATGTAGTTGTTGAAATGGATGCTATATTAGGAGAAAGGAAGTCCTCATTGCTTGGGGTAGCTCCTAATTGGCAGGTAGAGAATGCCCATCCCTGTCCTTTGAGAAAGTGTCGATTTCCTTTTAAATTTGCTTCCACTGGGTGTGCACTTGGGTACTTTTTCATGATTAATACTGAGAAGCGGCACCATCTAATTAATTAATTTCTTTGTTCTGGAAGGGAGCAGCGCACAATGTTAACTTAGTGTTTTGTGGATGTCGCCAGGGTATAGAACTCACGTCGTTACCTCTAGAAGTAGTTTTGCACTTCAGCACCGTTCACGATGCTTTTCTTTCTCCTCCTTAAGCTGTCCCCACCATCTTTAAAACAACCTAACAAACCTGTAGAAACATCACACGATAGATAGGTAGCGTTTGCCCCTAACCTGTATTCAAAACATAGAAAAAAGTTTTTTTCATTGTAATCATCGTGGAATAAATTATTCCCTAAATCCTAAGTAAATTCTGCCCCCCAAATCTCTAAAACTTGATCACAATAGTCCAGGAAAAGTGAAGGCAAGTTAAATCTCATAACACCCAGTAAATTATGATTTGGGGCTGTGTTTTCTTTTGTTCCAGCAATAATATGCCAGTATTTCAGAAAATGAATATTGTATAACGAAGGAGGAGTCTCTGCTTTCTATATATCATATAATGCAGCGTTGGGGTGGAAGGGGGTTTTACAGTCCAAACATTATTTACTAAGTAGATGGGAAGCTGGTATGTGAGTATTCGTGCTTGTGTGACAGTTAGTTTTACCGTAGAATTCCAAAACCGTGGACACCCTGTTCCTGGAGAAAGAGACACACGGGCAGTCTTGCGGATGTTTTTCGCGTCTGTGGGCCATCCAGGTTCGAAATCTGCCTGGTGCATTTTAAGGCGGCCAGCCCCACCAGCTCCTACTGCTGTATGCAGTTTTGGAGACTCACCTTCAGTCTAACCTTGCCGACGGCCCTACCAAGCCCCATCCACCCGCCGCTTTCAAAAACGAACCTCTGCGTCTGCCCAGCCCGTCTCAAGGATCAGAAAGTGGCAGGGGTGCGTCCCGCGGGCACTGGAGCTCGGAGGCTGCCGCGCGGAACGTGTGAGATGGAACATACCACCGGGAGGCGGCGGGGATGCACCGCGCCAGCGCCGGCTCGCCTCTCCTTTGGGTTTCTGCGCCGATGGGCGAGTGGCAGCCGCCACCCGCGGCGGACGCCTGTTAGCGTGAGGGGCGGCGAGGCGGCGGGGGGCTGAGCCGCCGGGCGGCGGCGAGTCGAGGAGCGTTTTTTCCCCCCATTTTTCCTGCGGCCGCGTGCGTTCCGGGGCTCGCCGAGTCCGCCCAGGGCTTCCTGGTGGGGCTGGGCCGGCGGGGGAGGGGCCGCGCAGCAGCGGCGGAAACCGGAGCGCGGCGATAAGAGGCTGCACCGCGACATGCAACAGCCCTTTCACTGCGGCTGAATGAGTTGTGGCGCTCACCATGCTCCCGTGACCGCGAACTGACAAGTTCAATTTTAAATCGCGGGCCTCTCGGAATCATGACTCCCACAATGCCTCGGGCACTCGCTCGGCCGTCTGGCTGCCTCTGAGGGGGAAGAAAATGTGAGAGGTAAGTTTCCATTTCCCCCGTTCGCTCGCGCGGCTCGGCTGCTCTGCATTGTTCGCACTCTTTCGGGACTGTGCATGGCTGAAGGAGGAAGTGGAAGGAGGCTGGGGCCGGCTCGCCGCGCCGGATGGTCTCCGATCACACGCCGTCGCGAGCTAGAGGGACGGCGGGAGGTTGCAGCTTGCAGCCCGGCTCCCAGGAGCCCTTCCCCGGGCTCTGCGGGCACTGTCAGCCCTGCCAGCTCCCCACTGGGCAGCCGAAAACAAAGAAAGAGAGAGAAAGACCAGGGGGGAGGGCGGTAAGAGAAACAGGTGCGTGCAAGTGTACTTACAACTTAACGGCCTTCGTCGGGGGAGGGGGAGATGCGAGTCCCATCAGGCGCGAGCCTCGCTTTCTCCCTGGAGGTCCCGCATCCCTGTTGCCGAGGCTGCCGTCCAGCCCGGTTTTCATCTGGGCCAAATATGTGCACGCAAAGGTTAATTCTCTGCCTGCTACCCATAAATTACGCATGACATGTTTAGCTGGCCTTCCTTATATGGAGAGTGCTGTATTTCAGTCCAGTTTGCCTTTTGCCAAGTTTTCAGGGCGGAAGACGCCCTGCTTGAGAGGGCTCCTGTTTTTTTTTTTTTCCTCCATCGTTTTGTAGTGCGTCACTCAAAAACTGTAAGAAAAGTAAGTATAGACGCTCTCCGGGTGCAGCCGCAGTTGGTTGGTTGAATTGCTTTCCTGAAAGGCTGAAAAGAACGAAAAGTAGTTAGTTCTTGGGTTCTGTTTTTTTTCTTTTTTTCTTAGACAAAAGCAAGACAAATATGTAACGCGTCCCCTCCCTCCCCTTCTCTCTCTTTTTTTTAAACGGAGCCGGAATCTGTTATTGGTAGTAATGTGTCATGTGAGAATACTTCGATTCCGGAGCCTGTGAGGCGAGCAGGTATACGGTGGAGTTCACGCTTGCCCGTCTCACAGTACTTCACTGCTGGCGTGGTGGAGCCAGAACCGTAATTGTGTTCTTCAGCCTTCCCGGGCCGGGGGTATGCGGCTGCTGGGAGCCTGTGCTCTATCTGCGAGGAGGGTGCTTCCCTAGGATTAAGACTGAGTAAGCTGCCAGCGAGGTGATTGCCGCTGCCTTTACTTTCTGTATCTACCAGCCCAGGCACCAGCCCAGAGCAAATGGATGGTAAACTCTGCCATACTCGGAGGAATTTCTTAAGCAAATTAATCCATCGAGAGAGAAGTCATAATTAATGCCTTTGGATTTGCAGGCCCTCTGCAATGTGCTTTGAAATACTACACCCGTGGACGCGGTGTTCCTCCCTCCTGGGTTTGAACACAGTGTTTATACACGGAGGGTGTTTAGTACGTAACTATTCTATACCAGGCTAAGTGATCCACTCCCTGTTATCTCTTTGGGTTGGTGAGAGCGTTGGTGTTTCTCCCTGTCTTGCTGTTGAGATAAAATATTATCACTGAGACAAGTTAAAGTTCAAGGACTGTAAAACTCACCCCTAGGAATACTTAGCTCGATACTTAGAATGGCTCTGATGCAGTGCTCTAGCCAGAGACACTGAATAAAGTTATTTTGTAGCCGGTGAAAACACAATGTTGTCACTTGTATTTTTGCTTTCTTAAAGTTGGTGACAACTGCAGCTCGAAATTGTTTTTTAAGGAAGACTCCAGCATTCTGATCTTCATCAGTGTTGCAAGGAGGTGAAAGTTTTTTTTTTTTATTACTTAGTGTGTTGTTAGGCCTTCTCTCAAAAGATGGAGGTAGCTTTTAGTTTTATTTAATGGGGGGTTTCCTCACAAAAGTGGCCTTTTGTGTTTTAAGGAACAGGTTGGGTCAGCACCAGAAAACCTGTTCATCCAACCGTCTATAATTACAGTGTCACTTAAGACGGAATAATCAGGTTTTATTATGATGAAGAGACTCTGAAAACCTCTCATGTGCCTGGTTTAATTTTTTTTTTCCTCATGGAACTGAGATAAAATTTGTGTGCAGACACACAACTCGTGTGATACTCTTATACAGCCATGCCAACAGACTCCGAAGTGTTTTATGCTTTGAGATATTGCTTGTGTTTACATTTCCACATTTGGGGCAAACTTAGGCTCCAAGTTGAATTCATTAAATTTTGATTCCAACATTCTGTTCTTCCTCTGGGCACAGAATTCCTATGACATGAAACACTGGATTCTGTTCCAGAACAAGAACAGAGTATCCCAAAGTTTCCCCTGGGACGGGGGGTGGGGAAGGGAGTGAAATTGTATTTCTGACTGAAGATGAGTGTGTTACTTTGTTATAGAAAAGTTCTGATCTTTTTTGTAAACAAAAAAAATTGCCCTTCCATTTATCATTGTTGCCCTACATTAGGCCTGTATTTGATATATCTATTTATGGAAACAGATTAGACTTCCTGCACCTTCTGGCTTTCTGCTTGGTGATGGGAACATGCCGAGGTGAGAGACTATCTCAGATCTTGCTTAGAAGAAGCTGAAAAGAATAGGTGATTGGAGTTTGTTGTACTCTGAGGCGTCAGAGTGGCCAGTAGATACGAGGGTTAGGGAAGCAGATGAAGGAAATACAGTCATTTAAATATTTGGCTCAATAGAAAATCCCAACAGCAATAACAATAACAAAGGATGTTACATAGGGAAATTTTAAAACATGTGAACTTTTAGGCCACAAAGTTTCATGGTTTTGAAATCTAGAATGTGTTATCCAAACAGTAGCCACTGGCCACGTGTGACTATTGAGCCTTTGAAATATGGTTACCTGGATTGAGGTTTGTTCTAAGTGGATGTTGAACACTTTGTACAAAGGAAAGGATGTATAAACCTGATAATATTTTTATAGTGATAGTATGCTGCAGTGATAATATTCTGGATAGATTAGTTTCAGTAGAATATGTTGTTAGATTAACTTTACCTGTTTCTTTTCATTTTCTTTTTTAAAAATATGACTACTTGGGACTTCCCTGGTGGTCCAGGGGTTAGGACTCTGTAGTTACACTGCAGGGTATGGGGGTTTGATCCCTGGTCAGGAAACTGGGATCACACGTGCTTTGCAGCGTGGTCAGAAAAAAAAAAAAAAAGTAAAAAGAAAATATGGCTACTAGAAACTTACAGTAACAGATGTAGCATGCATTGTATTTCTAGTGGACAGAGCTATTCTAGAATAAAGCAAGGAAGCGGTATTCTGGGGAAAGCCTAATAGAATTTACTGGTCAAAACACAATAAAAGGGACTTTCATTTTCACAGGCTAAAGCAGTTTATTATACATAGGAATACTTCATCTTTCTTATCCATTGTAACTAAAATTTGAGAAAACACACCACATAACATCTATTTTTATTTCCTCAAAACTACTGTTTAGTTTAGAGATTTAATGGTGAGGTAGTAATAGCAGAGAAAAGGCTTATAATTAGGGGATGAGTCTTAACACCTCTCAAAGGCCAGAATAGAGTATGATTGCTAGTTAGAAACATTTTAGGGACTATAGTTATCATTGTCCCGAAGTTACCAAACACAAACGAGTCACTGAAATTTATTTTAAAATAGGGTTTTCAGTAAATAGCAATTATCTTCAAATGCTTAATATATATTTTCCTTTGCTATGACTCTCCTTCCTTAGAAAATAAAAACACCCAATAAATCTGAACAACTCTTGACCGTATGTTAATCAAAGATTAATAAATTCACAAGAAGGAAAGACTTTCACCTGTAGGGAAGTGGACGTTGTTTTGAATACTAGGGAAGGTAAGAATACAATTCTTTGGTAATGTTTGGGCTTTGAAGAATTCCTATACACGGAGACATTGTCTTTATAATTTGAACACATTCTTTAGAAAGCATCTGACTGGTAAACAAAGCACAATGGCTTTGGTCCTGGAAACGTTCCTCTCAGATATTCTCATGACTGAAGTACATTTTGTCATGCACAGTGTGTGTGAAACTGAAAAAAGTATATCCATATAACATAAGCATACTTTTATTTACTTAAAGGATACTAAATCTATGAGACAGGTTGGAGCCTATGGATTCTTCCTTGCCGGGGGAGAGGGGGCAAATTTTATAGAGACTCTCAGAAAAGTTAGCTCCCAGCTTGGGGCCATCTTGAATCTTATCTCCCACCACAAGAAGCATAACTGCCATTAGTGTCAATGCATGTGGAGCCTTCGGGGAACAATGATCCCCATTAACTTCGTAGATCGTTTCTGATGAGTCATGGAGCAGATTCACTAATGCTTGGAGAATTATTGATTGCAAAGCAGAGGATTTAAGAAGAGCTATTGACATAGGGCACTAAAAGTCTCTAGGCATATTTTGTATTTTTAGAGTTGAGGTAGGGAACTTGGGATTTATGTCGTGCTTTCATATTATTAAAAAAAATATGCATTTATATAAGCATTACAGCTATATCCTTGAAAAAACCCTTAACAAATAATGAGGTAATAGCTTTCTGCATAGTATTATTAGTCTTTTAATGATTTCATTACGTTTCTTTCAGATAACTACTCATGTTTTCTAAAAGGCATCTTATTACCTTCCTATGACATATAAAAGTGAAAAACCTTTGAAGGATATATATTACAGTATGAGCATTATGTATTTGTTACTTTTCCCACTATTTTTGAGATCTAATACTCAGTTTCTGTGATGATCCTTTGTTAAAGAGTTCAGGATATATTAACCTCAAGATGAAATGTAGCCATATTGGATAGAGTGGAAAATTACATTCCCACTGTGATCAATTATTTTTTAAAAAGTGAAGATGTTTCTGAAATAAGTGTCATGCTTCAAATAGTGTATATGCTCTAAAAGAAAAACTGTCATCTCTTTGGATAATTGTTTTAAGAAATTGAGAGTTGCATCTTTAAA